CGAGTTCAGTCTGTATGCCAAACAATTCACAGTTCAATAATCCTAAGGGAAAAAAGTGTTCTATGGTTTTTTTGTAGGCAGTGTACTGTCAGGTTTCCCAGGCTCAGGTGGAGCATTACTCATAATTGGCATTCTTATAGGTGAACTGTTTGACCGTTTCGAGGATCCCAAAATTCTTTGTTGGGGATGTTTACTTGATTACATGACTGATGGTAGCGCTCGGTAGAGCACGGTATGATATACGAATGTAAAAAGTGGATGAATCTCTCTAACCTTTTTTTCATTTCTTTTTCATTTTCATTTTACTTCCTTTTATTGAATATACAAAGATACAACAATTTTTCAGGAAGGGGAAGCGGCCAATCAGAAGGCTTCCATTAAACACACAAATGGGGAAATTCAGGCGGTGGTGGTGGGGTTCGAACGCATCCCTGGGGTGATAATTTGGTGACGTTACCACCGGGCCACCACCGCCCTATATGATTAAACAGAGCATGAATTGTTCGTCCTTGCGGAAACCCAAAAGTTCATTCTAGAATTTTGTTAGTTGATTTATGCTGAGATGAGAGAGCGAGGTTGATAATGAAGGCAGAGAATTTGGGTTATGTATGCTCTGGTTTGTCACACCCTCCAAACCCGAGATTTTTCACCAGGCTGCAGCAATAAAACGTGTTTGTGTGGTACAATACCGGGACTAGTTTTTGGATGGCATGTCGTACGTGGCTTCATACTCTAGTATCGGTCCCATCTTTCTTGCCTACTTACTTACTCGTGATTTATTCTCACTGTTCCATTTTTTTCTTCATCGGAATGGAGCGGCAATCCGAACTCCTTACACAACCAAAATAATTTCCTCGGGTTTACTTAAGGCAAACAGACCACTTGTCACATAGTGAGCATTGACATGAACGAAATAAACTGCTTCTGTCCAATAAATTGCACCGCAAACGTATAGTAAAACGTGGCTGTATGCGTTATGTCAGGGTTGAAAACTATTTCACCTGATATGCTTTCCTCGGGCACAATATTTGTGCGGAGTGCGCATTCCCGTTTGTTGGAATGCATTGATTTATGGTCACTGGGTTTTTCGGCAATTTTTGTTGTTACAGTGACTCACAACGCGTTATTCTTACGGTGGATCTACAAAAACAGTTTGGAGTCATGATTACGAACACATTTTTATTTTTGAACTGAATAGAACTAGAACACGAATCATAAACTGCAACATTGTTGCACAACAAATCATGATCAATTACAGATGCACCCCAAAGAAAGGTATCTGGTACGGTATATTGAGAACCAAATCCGGTTGACCAAACAAGTTGCGATCGGTTTTTCATCAACTGACCAGTTTGTAGCCTCAGGTGTGGGTGATCCATCCCGCTTCATTAAAAGTATCGGTCATCGTTGTAAACCATGCGCAAAAGTGTCGAGCTAGGTTTGTTCCTGTCGCATCACATACACAGTGTACAGTCCCATTCAATTTTTCTGCTATCTAGAGCTGATGTTGATTTCACTCTATATTACCCTTAATGACATCTCGAACGAAATCCGTCTGGTTTAAATCTGATCTGTGTGCTAGCCAACCCACTAGCAATATATTTCGATGTAACGGCCAATTTGTTGTTCTGTATGACATGAGTATACAGACTTTATCCTTTGGAAAACACGGGATTCTCCATGATTTTGGGAAACCGAGGGCTGTGACAAGTTTTTAATTGGGTTTTCGTGAGGAACGGAAGTTTGACCAACGTACTTTTGCGATAAGAACGCCGCTGGCATCACACGTCGAGCGCTCTGAAACTGGAATCCATGTTTTCGTCGCACACGTCGTGCTGATGACAGGACTGTTCAAAGTCAACTTCTTCTCTAGAGCCATATTGGTCATTAAATTGGTACACTGTTCTTCGTTCGATTCTGAGACGATAACATTTCTTCGATTGCTGAGAACTATTGGTTGCTCATCTAGACTATTTAGATTTCGGTATTGAACTTATGGCGTGCATCTTAGCCATCAGTACGATTGATGACGTTGCCTAGCTTGAATGCTAAACGTCTGCGACTAACACTTCCAGTTCGGAGGACTCACTAACACCAACAACCGACAGTTTATTTTTATCCTTTTTTCTTAATGGTCAAGTTTCTGTGCCGTATAGCAGAACTGGCCGAATTGCCGCAGCGAACACTCGACCCTTCACATACAATCGGATTGGTTAATCTGGATAGAATGTGTCGAGCGTTTGTGGTCGAAGATCACTAAATCTGATAAACTGTATCAAAAATACGTTCATGAATCATCTTGTTTTATACTTGTGCATAGTTCAATTATGACCAGTTCCGAGTAGCAAACTGGACCAAGTTCTCTTTGTATCATTATTATTACGATCTCTAAATAGTATTGAATGGGTTTTATTATCTAAATACCGTCAGTCCTGGTTGACATGTTCGCCAGGGACTGTTCGGTCTTAAACCTGTGGCATACTTGCGAAAACTTGTCTTTTTTCTTTTCCAATTTTTGTGCGTTCTTAATCCTTATTTGTTTATTGTGTTGGTTTCTCTTTTTTTAACTTTTAGCTTTATACTTGACACTGCGTCCAGTCACACAACAACACTGATTAGTCCGGGATCATGGTGTGCGACTATCTGTTTTGCGGCACATGTTTTTTGAATTTTCGTTTGTCCGATATCACATTGTTTATCGAGCACAAAAAGAATGACTGTGTGGCAGCGAACACCAGCTCCGGTTCCGGTCGTCCCAGTCCGGACAATCTGATGGCCAATTTATTGGAATGTGTTCAGTGTTTTCGCAAATTTCCCACCGCTTGGCCTTTGCTCATGCATGTACAAGTAGAACATCAGCTGCTGTTTGCCAATGCCTTCCGTCAGGCCTCATTCAATCCGCGTGATGATCCGGTGCCCGCTGTATCAGCCACATCGTCTGAAGAGCGCAATCTAGATCTTGGACAGAATATAGTTCCCTACGGTTTGAGTTTGGATGATCCCGGTTCCAATGTTTCTGTTTCAAGCAATATTGTGAGTAATGGTGCAACCGCTGTAGTCACTGCCACACCAGCCATACCTCATTTGGTTACTATCGGAACACAGACCAATATGAGTTGGTTTCGAACCCAGTCACGGCTGGTACGCAAACGCGCTTTGTGCTGTGCCTCCGCGATTGAGACCGATGCTCCGTGCACGGATGGTGATTGCCCTGAGGCAGAGCGCATGTGTCAGTGCTCGAACACACAAGCCTCTGATCCAATGTGCCCGTGCCGATGCTTTTGCTCACAGTCTGAACTAAAAACTATCACATGCCCTCCGTGTGTTGCCGGTCCGGAACTTCAAAATAATCAGTTCTCTGATCCCACAATGAATTGTTACACTCACTCTCGCCCGATGGACAGTTTAACTCAGCTGGGCTCAAACACTCCGGCTTGTTGTATACAGAGCAATAGTTTGGATTGTTGTTCCAATAAATTAGTCCCATCTGCTTCACAGTCCATGGTCGTTCCCTGTTGCCCTTGTCCTCCAGCTAAGCGTGCATCAATGCGCTCCTCAGAAGCACAAACCGATTTTGACCCCGAATTCAGTGGTCCAGACTACGCAGATATTGCCATGCTTTTGGCTACACCAGATCGTGATTCAGAATATCAACAGGAGGTCGGCTCATTGAGCAATGTAGTTGATCCATCCAATTGGTCACAAAATCCCACCGAACCAAATTTGAACACAAGTGAAATGTCACATTCACAAATCGTTCCCACCCTTAATCCGCTAACAAACGAGGTGAACTATACACATCCCAGTCAACCAGATCAGCCTTCCATTCCGTCAGCCCCGGCACAGTTACCACAAAGTGCACCAACTGAATCGACAACCACAACCGCATGTGTGATCCCACGGAAGCAAGTTGATTGGCTTAGTTCTGCTCAACACGTTCCGTCCGAGGAAGTCATGACACTGGATCAACCATATACCCTGACAACTAGCACTGCACTGCACATTTCTCCGCAAGAAACAACACTGACACGTTCGGTCTCGCATCAGTTTGTCTGTTCTGAATGCGGTAACCAGTATCGTCAAAAGGTGCATCTGCGCAAACACATCATGACTCAACATACCCGTCAGAAACCTTACCGATGCCCGAGTTGTAACTACACCACCGTCGAGAAAAGTCATCTGACTGTACATGTTCGTACTCATACCGGTGAACGGCCATTTGTTTGTCGGGAATGCGATTACGCCTCGGCACAAAATTGCACTCTAAAAGCACACTACATCCGAAAACATTTGAACAGTCGTATTTTCTGTTCCAAGTGTGATGAGCCATTCTACACGGAATTGGAACGAGCCAATCACGAACGTCTGTGTCTTGGTAACAGAGTGTATCCTTCCACTATGTTACCTGTTTCACTTGCGTCTATGACGAACACATCTAAGACAAACGGGATTAAGGCTTCTTCATCCCCCTCACGGGATGCGAACGCTCTCCTGTGATCGGGAGCCTTATTTTGATTTGAATTCCCCGATACCATTAACGTCTTCCCGGGATTTATTGTCTTGGTTAGTGGACTAGGTACGATTAGGTTATCTTCCTGTGTCTATCTGTCTCCTTACGGGTGCTCACCACACGAATTTCCGCTTTTCAGCCATTCCACCGGTGCCTCTTTCCAAATTTCTTTCACTCGTTCGGGGCCATTTGGTTAGTTATGTAAAATATATTTTGTGTGTATGTGTATGCTCGTCCAGTTCTGTGCCACATTTGCCCCGCCCTTCCGGTTGCACTGATCACCGTGAATCATTCCTCACTCTGTGGTTTTACTTTTGGTGTATAACATGCCGGTTTTGGAACCCAATCATTCCCATTCCACATTTATTCATCTCCACACACACACACACACACACACACACACACACACACACACACACATCCTCTTCATGCGCATAGGCCTTGAACAACCAGCTCAGGGTCCACAGATTCATGGCTTGGTTGTAGTTTCAATTGTGATTAGATTATCCTACCCTTCCGCGGTTCCATTCACCTACCCGCTGGCATTCTTCGATCCTACTGACCTTTCCTTTATCATCCATCTTATCGCATCGTAATTCGTTATATTTTCGTTGTATTCTTCCCACAGCTTTTGGGATAATCTTTTTTCTTTGATCTTATATATATATATATATATATAGCAACATTTATACATCCGCTATCACGAATACATCAGTTTGGTTTCTACTGTTCTTGGGATCGACCGTCATTTAATGCGCGTATATGTTTGTGTACACGTGGTGTTGTACCTGTTCCCCATAGTCGGAAATATCTCAGGTGGACAGTATGAATTGTTTCTCCAAATAAGTTCTCTCTTGTTTGCGGGCAGTTTGTGGGTGAGAGCGGGAAACGAAGAGAACCGAAGCTGGGTGGCATCATGTAATTTGTGATCGGTAAAATTGTGCATAGTGGTTGTAGTGTTCAATCGGTACAGAGCATTATTTGTATCGGCGCATAGGTCAGTTGTCCGAATCCTGTTCCCATTGTCCAGCTGCCACAATCTATCACTTATTTCCGAAGCCCTTTTTTAGCACCCACCCAGGTGTGATGAACAACGAACGGGGTAAACCCTATTGTCACGTGAACCAACTGTTGAAACCGGCAACCTAACCGGTGGAACTGGAGTAGCAGGCGTGGCAGCTATTCGATGCCAATCTTCTTTCTGAAAATTGGTTTTGAATTCTTATTTTCCATAAATATTATTTAAACTGATGGTCTTAACACTGAGAGCATAACTTCAGATCATTATTCAATCGTATGCCTTGGATTATACCGCCATTGAGTAAAGTATCTGCTAATGGAAAATGAGCAACCTTTTACCGAATGACTTAATTCATCCATTCCTCAACTGTTCCTTTTTTAGTACGAAAATCGAGGTGATATCTACTGCGGGAAAATCATGTGAGACTTCGGCAGCACTCATTTTTTCGGACCCAGACGAGCGAAGCTCTCGTGATTCTGGATTCTGGATGACATCAATCATACAGGTGTTGATGCTTAGAGACGTTCTCATTTCATTCATACTCTCGGGAAGCCATAGACATGAACCATGTCGTCGTTGGAGCATAGTGCCAATCCACCGGTCTAGCCTGGCCCGTCCGATTTGAACATGGGATCTTTGGTGCAGAACGCGAGTATGTTACCACGGTGCCCAAATTGATCCAATTTCCTATCACCGAACTTGTAATTACACCGGTTGCTGCGAGTAAAACTGCGCGAACAGTGTACTCGGGAATCATTCTCGTTCCAGGGGCCGGAGCATATACGGCTTTTGTCTGCCATCGTCGAATATGAATTGTGCCTGCTCTGACTGTTCAGAACACCTTGTTATATGTTTGCTCCATCGGATCTTGTATACCACTGAAATCAGACAATTCAGGGTCTTCAGTGAAACCTTTGTGGAAAACAAACATCATGGTATATAGAAAAAGGCAGATTTGATTCGAATAAACAGTAAATTTTGTTTCCAGTTCTCGCTTTGTTTGTTTCGTACATCCCTAAATTTGCTATATAATCAAAGTAGGTGCTCCCCTACTCACACGTAAAATGTAAGCAGGCTCGGAATGTTTCCAACTGAGTCATAACCTTGGCGACTAGTGTTGAGATGTGCGAGGTGTAATGACCGCATTAAGCTAGCAAAGATGGGTCATGCTGCATCGTGGATGGTGGTAGCGCAGTGGTTTAGTCTCTGAAACCGGCGTGCTTCGGACCCTATGATCCAGGGTTCGAGCCCCGCCACCCAACTATGGTGGTAGGCAGCTTTGCTTCGTCCGGTTCAATACCACATCTTACCTAGCGTGGCCTTACGTGGTTCACCACTCCAAGTCCCAGGGATTAGGTTAGCGGATTCCATCACTGAACGGCAGGTCCTCGTGACAATCGGGTTCGCCCCATCTGCTGTTCATCATACTAAGGTGTGTAATAAAAAAAGCAAGATGAGAAACGGTTTTATCAGTTGCTTGGTGTTCCAAGGGGTAGTATGCTACAGTTCTACCCATAAAGTCCCTAGTTGGGTCGACGGATTCGCACTGATGATGAAACCCAAGCAGATCGTCACGGTTGTCCAATGCTTCCCGGCTTCGCGGTTTATGCTTAATTTTTGCGATGAATTCTTCATACAAACTTAATAGTACTTGCGGTAAAAAGCACTGGGGAAGATGATACCATCTAGATGGCCGAATCCTGCGGTGACGAACAGACAGTTTCCTTCTTATGAAGCTGTTCACATTTCTCAAACTAGATGACTGAAATGTACAAGACCGTTTTTCCTCATGGGTTTCTCTTCTTTTTTCGTCAGTAAGTTTTGCGTCATGATTAATCCAACTCATTGATTTTCCGAACATATATACCAAACACCTAGGACCCTCACCGATCCTGTTTTCACGTACCAGGTTTCGGTGAGCTTTAGTTATGCGATTCTACCCAAATCGAATACCCCCGACGGTAATAGGCTTTGAAATTTCATCAAGCTATCGCCCCTTCCCACCCACCTAAAGGATAACTCTTGGTAACTAGTCCCGGATGCTGAACGTCAGTGAGGGCGCTTTTAAAGTAATATGATATTTCATAGAGCTGCAATGTATTCATCATAAGTTACGATGTTACTAGTTCGAAGGTGGTACTTGTGTGGGGGAGATGAGTGTACTGATGAACCAATGAGATATGTAGCGCATTATAACCGCTAGTGATAACTGGCAGAAATACAGTGTAATACCCAATATAAACATTTCCAATTATATGGAACTATACTGAAAGGGGTAAATAAGTTCGCGCGTGGTTTGTATTTATAAAGCGCACTCGATTCGAATTCGCTCTGTTTGGTTTGAGTGAAATCTCGAAGAATATTTTACGCTATTGAAACTATTATTTTAGTATTTTTCAATTGTCGGTTAACCTTTGGAATATCGAAAGCTATTTCCATAGTGGTAAACACTGGCTGATCATTGGTACTTGCTTGATTGTTTATTTCCAAGTTGTAAGTCATTTTTGTCAGACATTTCCCCGTACGATTACGTGTCTTTTTTGGCACTTTTGTCGATTTCAAATTGTGTTGGTAAAATGTCACTCAATCACGACCCATGAGGTGCCAGTCAATGTCCGAAGCGGCTCTCAAATGGAATACATTGCTGTAGGTGCAAAGCAAGGAACTATTAACGATGCTGCCAACTGTACCAATAAGGCTATTGGCTCCATTGGGTTCCATTCGTTGCGATTCCCTGGCACCGGAATGCTCCCGCATTCTAACGAAGGGGGCGGGGGCGGGGGCGGGGGCGGGAAATCGATGGTGAAGGAAACCACCAAAGGTGCATCTAAAGGTTAGGTTAGGTAGGCAGAAAAAAGCTAAAGAATTGATAAAAGCTGCAGAAATACAAAAAAAAATACGTGAGCTAAAGAGGCGAATTCAACCGAGACGGCGGAGATCGCTGTTATTAGTGCAACGATCACGGTGCTGGAAAGTGAATCGAAAATCATAACAAATCAGTAGGCTCCATTCGGCAGTGCAAAACACCGCTGCATATCATCCCCGAGTTCATCATGAGTTTGGTATGAGGCTGACCGAAGACGTTCAAAATTTGTTTCCGTTGATCGGACTTCCTCCCACCACCATGCACTATGTGAAATATCATCGTGTTGCATTATTGATGAGTTGAAAGTGTAATCCATACAGGTGATCTTTAGCAGCATTCATGGTCTGGATATGGTGCTAAGCCACTAGAAAAAACAGTAAAACCGGCCTACGACAATAGAAATAAACACATGAAAAGAAGGAAGGAAAAAATGAACCGAAAGCCAATTGAAGCTGTAGGGAGTTCTGCCGACCGAGCCCTGAGCAACCATTGTTGCTAAAACGCTAAATGGAGGAACCCTCACCTGTTCAGGTGTACCTTTCCCTTATAGGAATGGTTTGGCAGCCAGAATCGTAAGTGAAAACGACGGATCAGCTGTCGGGAATGGGTACAAGTTCCCCAGGGGTGAAATACTCTATGAGAAAGAAAAACAGAAATGAATCAGAATAACCACGGGGTGCTGGCGGAGACCATCAATGTGTGTTACACCAACGACCGCTGTAGGCAAGCTAAGTGGGGTGAATTGGGGGCTCGTACCCTGTATTCAGTTATCATAGCGATCACAGAGACGTGGATGCTCAATGAGCAGGTTACTAACCACCTCAGGAATCATTCAGTTCACAGAGAAGGTGGTAGGTAAGGAATTAGGGGTATTGTTATTGGCTAAGGCCAGTATCAATGAGTGGAGTGCACAAGCGAACATTACCACACCCATATCCAGCCAACAGTATGCAACGTGTTATCAAGGTCATTGTGAAGGTTGGCGATTTCAAGGGCGAACCTGAAAGGATAGTCGGCGGGGTGCCTCAAGGTTCAGTACTGGGACCACCACTCTCCTATTTATATCAATGACTTAGCACTAGATTACCAAAATTCCCGCT